TTCCCAAAATCTGTATTTGATTAATTCTCCAAAGGTCCAGGTCAATGTTATTCCTCAAACCTTATTATTTTAACAAAGAAGCCCAAAGGGTCCAGGTTTGTCAGAAAATTCATTATCACCATAAAATGGCAAAAGGTCACAAAATGTCTCCTTCTACAATAAAATAGCATATAAGAAAAATCTCTTTTCCTCAACCATTCATTACCCCAGCAGAACGGAGAGAAACCTTTGACATTTCAGATCCTTTTGCTTCAGGGGAAATAAATGTTCCATAGATCATGGAGAAAAATGACAAACAAATTAATGAAAAACAAATACACTCCTGCAGCATACCCAGCCATGCCAGACCAAACACAAGTCAGAGTCAGCTTCTATTCTCAGGTCTTTCCAGTTCTGGAGAGCGACAGTTTCCATAATGGCATCAGCACTTTAGTTGGAGAAAGCTGTACACGCACCAAAGGAATACAAATTAAAGAAACATGTGGTAGAAAAACAGAAAGAGAAATGCATGTCATTTCATGCATATTTAACTATAGTGGGAAAGTCACTGCTGGCAAGGCATGATTGAAATCTTGAGCTAATAAGTGGAAGCATTCTAGCAGTTGTTCACCCCCCTCATCATAGTGCTTTATACAAAATTATAACTTGACTGAATTTAGCAGCGCTCAGTTTTCCCACATTCTAAAAATTCCTTCCATTAATTCTGCCTCACTCTTGCCACTAAACCTGGTCAAGAAGTAGTTGACGTGTACTTTCTCCATATCTTCAATTTCCATTCCTTAACTAATTTTAATACCACATTTTCATTATTTCTTTAGCCACAAGCAATATGGATAAGGCCAAAATTCATTATGACCCTCAGACCTAGTGCCCCTCCACAAAGGTGACCACTGCTAACAGTTTTGTTCTTCCAGAGCTCTTTAGATGTGTTTATTTATGTAATATAGATTTATGGAATCGTGTGTGTGCATGTGTGTAATACTATGATAAATGGTATCACATAAAATGTATTTTTTTTTTTTTTGCCACATACTTTTTTTCTCTCAATAATCTGTCTTGGAGCTCTTTCCAGGTCAGTAAGTATAGATCAGCAGTTCTCAACCAGGGGCTGTTTTGCCCCTAGGGGAGACTTGGAAATTTCTGCAGACATGTTTGGTGGTCCCAACCTGAGTGAGGGGTGCTGCTGGCATCTAGTAGGTAGAGGCCAGGGATGGTACTAAGCACCCCACAGTGCACAGAACGAACGGCCCTATGACAAAGAATCATCCACCTACAATGTCAATACTGCCAAAGGTGAGAACTCTTGATATGAATTTACTTTATCCTTTTAACTGCTGCACAGTACTCTATAGTTTATTTAGCCAATCACATAATGATATGCATTAGATGAATTTTTCAAATATGTCTATTTGTGCCCACCAGTGCGTGTTTCTTCCATTTACTTTTAACCCAACTGCAATCAGCCTTCTTTCCTAAACACCCCTAAGTCCATTCCTGCTGCTATGACTAAATGCCACAGACTGGGTAATTTATTAATAACAGCAATGTATCTCTTACAGTTCTGGAGACTAGGAAGTCCAAGAGTAAGGTGTTGGCAGATTTAGTGTCCATGAGGGCTGGTTTCTATTTCCAGGATGGCACCTTGTTGCTGCATCCTCTGGCGGGGAAATGCTGTGTCCTCACGTGGTGGAAAGGACAGAAGGAAAAGAGGGATGAGCTCTCTCCCTCAAGTTCTTTGATGGGGGCACTAATTCCATCCGTGGCGATGCATCGCTCAAGGCCTAATCACCTCCCAACAGCCTGACTTCTTATTATCATCAGGTTGGGAGTTAATTCTGACATATGAATTTTGGAGGGACACATACATTCAAACCATAGCAACCCTGGAAAGGTTACCAGTGGATTTCCTAATCCCTTGGCTCTTTATCAGGATGTGCCAACTTGGCCTTTCTGTGACATGGGCCAGTGCTCACGATCCCCTTCTCTTTGAAGCACGTGCCCCTGGCCCTGGGACCCAACCCCATCTCTCTGCTCATGCTGCCCCCGTTGGTCTCTGCAGCTGGCTGACACCATAATGCCGTGTCCCGAGCTCTGTCCCTTTCCCAGGCCCTGTGCTAGGCATCAGGGGTATGAAGATGGAGGGTGGGAGGCCTCTGGTCTAGACGACCAGCACACACACCGATCAGGCAAAGGGAAGCATCACCTAATCAGGGCATGTGTAAAGTTTGTTGAGTGATTGAATAAATGATTAGAAAGAGTATAAAAGATTTTAAAGGGGAGTGGGAAATGTTTTGCCTTCACGATTCAGAATTTACTGCATATTTTATCTTCATGACTCCTTCCTTCACAATATACATTCAAAAAAATAAATCAAGACAAAGGCTTGCCTCAAATCTTCCCACTCCTTTTTCCTGCTTTGAAACAGCAACTGCATTGTTTCACCTTCCTCCTACAGGGAATGCGCTTGGCCTTTGCCAAAGCAGAGAAAGATCACATTAAAGCAGCAGCCCTGCTTGCTGCAGGCCGAGGGGTGGGAAGCCACGTTGGCCCTCAGACCTTCTCTCCAACCTCCTCAGGGTGGTGGGACCCTCATCTCCCAATGGCCCCATACTTACTCCTGTGGGGAGATTCCAGGAGTGGACTGAGCTGTAACCACCGCCTGGTCCTTGTCTCTCTGGATCAAGGGATCTTAAGCACCTACCTGAAACCTGACAGCAACAGAAATCTCAACCATAAATCCAACTCAGCGCTGAAATTAAACCCTTCACCATGTATTGGATGCTCACTGTGCAGGCCATGGGGAGGCAGAAAGATGAATGGGACGTGGCCCCTGCCCCCAAGGAGCCAGATGGGGCCCGGGAGGAGGGCACAGATAAACACCACTTACAATGCAAAACAGAATAAAGTTAGTCCTAAAAAGAGGGCTGAGCAAAGGAGACTGCTTAAGGAGGAATGGGGGGATGAGTTATGATGGGGGATCAAGCAAGGCACTTGAAAATTATTTCCCTTCTCTCTTAAAAATAAGAGAAGCTTTGTTTGATGGAGTCTTTCAACTTAAACACAGGGAAAGCGGGGTTTCTGCGAGGAAGTAAATGCCAAGAGAGGTAGAATCTGGATTGCCGTTCTGCTGAGCACCGTGTAGTTTAGGTAGTGTCCCGAACCTTACAGATGGGAGTTTTTATCTCAGATATTTACCTGGGATGTGGGATATTTAGCTCAGATATCACTAAAAATCCAAGATTGCAGCTGTCTCAGCCCCAAATGCTCAAGTCTCAGCAGCCCTAGTTGTAGAGCAAGGATCTTAATTTGACTTATTTCCGTTCAAGTGACATCATCAGATTCTCAAAGACATACCCATCTGTTGCTCCAGATATGACTGTAGATACACCTTGCAGGGTCTATGTGTACATTTGTCTTTATTTATATTTCTACCTGCTTGTCTGGAAGCGGGTGGGGTCCTAGGAACATAAAGGGTATAGAGCTCAGAGCATAGAGGCTTTTACCATAAAGTGCCAAAGCCCAGCTAGACAAGGGCAGAGAGGAAGATCTGGCGGGTGTGTGTGATTGGGGAGGGAAGGACAAACAGGGGAGAGGGAAGCAGTTAGCCGAATGGGTCAGTGAACAAGGACAACATTAATCATCCCAGCTAGTGTTATGTTAGGTCTACTAATGACTGTGTTTTATCTCTCCAAGTGGAGAACTGATTGAACTTGAGTCTGGAAGGCAAGGAGGGTACTGCTGTAGAAGTTCCCAGAGGGCTGCTGTATTCATTTCCTGTTGCTGTGTAACAAATAACCACAAATTTAGCAGCTTAAAATAACCCTTGCTTAATACTCCACAGTTCCCCAAGTCAGAAGGCAGGCTGGGCTGGCTCAGTGGCTTCTCAGCTCGGCGTCTCACAAGGCTGAAATCAAGGTGTGGGTCAGGCTGGGCTCTTACCTGGAGGCTCTGCAGAAGAACTGCTTCCAGGCCCGTTCCAGCAGGATGTAGCTGCTGTGGTTGTAGGACTGAAGTCCCCATTGCCTTCTCAAGGACTACTCTCCGCTTCTCAAGTCCTTGCCCCGTGGGCCCCTCCACATCAAAGTCAGCAGAGAACCTTCTTCTCGTGGAATCCCACTCATATCTAGAATCTCTCTGACTTCTTTTCTGCTACAAGCCAGAGAAAAGTCCCTGCTGTTAAAAGGTTCGTGTGATTAGGTCAGGCCCACACAGATCATCTGCCTATAGTAACATCTGCAGGATTCCTTTTACCACCTAGTGTAATGTAAGCACTGGAGTGAACCCAGGGGGGTGAAGGCCATGGAGGCCATCTTGGAATTTGGCCACTCACAGCTACCCAGGGTGTGGTTCCACCCGACCTTGAAGGGATACCTGGAAATCTAGTGTCCAGGGACCAGAAAACTGTGACTGAGAAGTGGGAAATGATACAGGGAAGGGACATATTCTCTGGAAGCCAGAAGAATTTTGGAGTCAGAATCAGATGACTGTGCTGAGGATTAAGCTCCTTTAATCAAGAAGTGTGTTTTTGTTTGTTTGTTTTTGAGACAAGGTCATACTCTGCCACCCTGGGTAGAGTGCAGTGGTGTCATCATAGCTCACAGCAACCTCCAACTCCCCAGCTTAAGTGATATTCCTGCCTCAGCCTCCCAAGTAGCTGAGACTATAGGTGCACACCATGACACTCAGCTAATTTTTCTATATATGTATATATATATATTTTTTTTTTTTTTTTTTTTTTTTTTTTTTTTTTTTTTTTTTTTTTTTTTTTTTTTTTGTTAGCAGAGACGGGGTCTTGCTCTTGCTCCGGACCTTAAGCGATCCTCCCACCTCGATCCTCGCACCTCAGCTGTGAGCCAGCACTAATCAATAGGCATTTTGCTGAGCAGCTGCTTTTCTAGGCCCAATTAGGCACTATTAGTACAATAACAAAGGAGGGAGAGCTCTTGCCCTTTAGGTATTCACAGGCCAGTGAGTTTGTAAGGAATCTTCTAGAGTGGAAATACTGTCCTAATACAAGTTTACCCTGAGAAATCTATGTATCTTCAGGAAAATATTTGTGTGTTTTACAGACAAGCCTGAGTGCTGCTGCTGCTGCTGCTCTCATGGTATGCGAGGCAGGCACTTCAGAGCCAAGGTGGTAGTTCTGAAAGGGGCCCTCAAGGCCTCGGTGGCTCTAGTGGAAACAGCAAAGGCAGGAACTAGGAGCCGGGCATTATAGGAAAAGTACCTTCACAGGGAAAGAAGGGGCACCAGGAGGCCATCTTGCTTAGATCAACCGTAAACCACCACAGATGGGTCGTAATATTATTTCAAAATATCTCCAGGGATGAGAATTCCTCAGTCTCCCTCATAGTCAAAAGTTCTTTATTTTACCTTTTTCCAAAAGTAAATTCCTTTCCCTTTATTCATTCCTTTGTGGAAATAAAATGCAAGTCCTTCACACTTGTCTTACAGTAATATGTCACGTGCAGCTTACTTCTGAGCTTTCAACTGAATGATGGTTGGAACTTTCCTTATTACACAATAACATCTGGGCCTGAGGAAAAAAAGAATAAAGTCAGATAAAAACAGACATTTGGAAAAGCTATCTTCAGGAAAATGTGGGAGCAGAGATGGTAGGCCTAAGTGCTTTCCTCTATCTTTTTTGACAGGCCGCCACATACAGTTTCACAGGTTGCTGACTGCCCAAGGGCACAGCCTGTTCTCCATTTTTAAAATCACGCTTCCTGGCACAGAGAGGGGTGTCTTGTTCTAATCTGAGCAAGGCACTCTGTAAACTTGTGCTCTTTGCCGCCTGCTCTCTCCTTATGTTGAACCTGCATGCCACAGTGAGATGGGTGAAAAGCAACATAGGCAAAAAACCAGGGAAGGGGCAATAGAGACCAGAAGGAAAGCCAAAGAAAGGATTTGGGGGGAATGTCAATAGGGAAGGGTAGAGAGGAGAAAATGAGGTGACAAATGAGGTGACCATCTGATCTCCTGATTAGGAGTATAGGGGAGACGCCTTATTCAGCAACCATGAGACTAGAAAATAAGCATTCTCTTTAAAATAACACTTCATGGACAGTCAACTTTGTGAGGAGGTAATTGGGTTGTGATTAAACTTATAGACATAAACTAAATAATTCTAACTCCTTCAATTTTGCACATTGTTTTTTATTTGGTTGCTTGGTTTGGTTGTTTTGGTTTGGGGTTTTTGCTTTGGGTGCCTTTATATAGTCCACAAATACTTCTTGGTACTGATTATGTTCATAGCACTCTGTTAGTCCTTGTATATAGTTCTTTGCAGACAGTGGTCCTCAATCTTTAGTGTGCATAAAAATCAGCATGTTAAAAATGCAGCTTCGTAGCCCTCCAATTAGCTTCAGGTTCTGAGCTATATTTTAATGAAACACCTGGGAAATTCTGACGAGTCAGAAGGGGCAGGTGGGAAGAGGAAGAACACTCCTAAATGGAGTTCTCAGAACATTTTGAAAAAGGGGTTGAGTTTTAAGTAGGCCTTTAAGAGAAAGAAGAGGGCATCTCAGGTGGGGAAAATATGTAAATAAAGGCACAGTGGCCTCCTGTGGTGGCAGGCAGCTCAAAAGAGCTTAGGAAGAGACCAAATCTGTATCTCTTCATTGCTTCATGATTCTTCTTGAGCCACACATTTGTTCTTCTTTCTTATTAGATTGCTTTTAAGAATATTTCATAAGAGATTGCACATGTACATGTAAAAAGACATTAATCACATTTGAAATGTATGAACTGAGTTGTGTATAATTTTAGGTTGATTTAAGTGTCTATACTGTTGAAAAACTATATAGATGCCAAATGGCATCTGATTATTAAATTCAGATGCCACAGTCTTTCATTAACAGCATATCTTTTTTGCTCTGTATAATTTCCTTCAGAAGTGGCAGGCCCATAGACATTGCAAACTATACTACAAATCAGTGAGACAGAGGAAGTGGTCACGAAATTAAATGTGAAAACACTCAACCTTTTGCAATATGAAGCGTTTGTTTATTCATATCATCCATATTTGGAGCTCATTCTTTTTAAATGGATCTTGAAGTGTTTTTATTGGAAGGTGTCTGATACTTGTGTTTTTAATTCTTCTTTCTCACTCAAACAATTTTGAATATTAGAATACAATTTCAGCAAATATTTTATATTCTGTAAAATGGAAAAAAATAAAGAGAACCCTCTCTTTTGCCGATACTCATGATATACACAAAATGAGAAAAGTGGAGATTTTCATAGCATTGCATGACTCTATTAGAGTACAAATCACTGCTGTGTTTTTTTTTTTTAAATGATAAATAAATGCTATGCAGCTTCAGGTAGAAACTGTAAAGTTTAATTTGTATAACTGCGTGAGTAGACAAACTATTAGTGAAAATATATGTACGTATTCTATGTACATGTAATCTGTAAACTTTTTCAATCATGATCATAAATTATTATCATACTCATGTGCACCAATATAACTTTAAACCCTCTAATCTGCACCCAATGCTATAGTGTGTGTGTGTGTGTGTGCGTGCGCGCACGCCTGCGCACACATGCGCACACGCGCACTTGAACAGAATGTTCGTGAGACTTTGTTTCTGTAATGTGACTATACAAATATTTGGGGTTATTTTAATCATATAGGCATTTATTCCTACCAAGCTGGTCTTGACTGTTATATAGGCATTTCCAGTCTATTACATATATACATTTTACATATCATTCAAATTTGAAGTTTCCTTGAACAACTTTCCCAGCCTGGTTTCAGATGTTTACTTGTGGAAGAGTTCATCTTCTCTCTCCTCTCCTTCCCACTGTAAATACTCTTTCCTTGGGCCAGGTGGCTGTCCCTTTAAGGGACGAGGAATGTGCTTTCCTTCCTGTCAGTGCCTATGCTCTTGCTTGGGTTTCTCTTGTGCCCTTCCCAGCACCTAGCAGACAGCTGAGCACCTGCCTGCTGCTCTGTGCTGCTCTGTAAATATGGACCCACACCTCGGGTGGGTAGCCTTTGTGCACTTCCTGTTTCCCAGGTGATTCGCTTGTGCATTGCATATGTGGACACATAGGCAGATGACCCTGGTATACTCTTTCCTGCTTGGAAGCACACGCAAGGATATGCCACATTGTCTAATTGTTTAAACAGTCAAATGGATCTGAATTCACATCTTACAAGCAACACTTTGCCAAAAATTCTAAATATTTAATCTCTGGTGCAGGAATGGTTTAGTTGGCAGATATCCTTCCAGTTTAATATATATATAATACATACATACATATATATGGATGAAATATGAATACACTATTAAGTTTTTCATCTGCATTATTAATAATTACTATTTTTTCCAGGTATTAAGTTTCTGCATTTTTTTATTGAGTTTTCAGGGACAAAGTGTGGTCAAGATTCCATAGTCATTGCTTTACACAATATATAGTTCCTGAGATAACTATATAATTCTGAATGTTGATACACCCATAAGAGAGGTTGCTTTTCCCTCTCACACATCTGTTTTGCTTTAGGCGAGAGAACTTTCTCATGCTAGAATGGCTTTCAGTGGATATAGGCAATCTGCTTTATGTTGAGCCTCTGCAACTCACAGATGCAAATGTTTAAAAAGCAGTGAGGTTAACATGGTTATTTCTTCATCTGAAACAAATGTCCCCAGCCACTACTTTTGTCCTTTTTTTTTTAAAAGAAAAATATCTTATTGTGTTATAAATCCATTGTGTGTAATCCTTATACCCTTGTCTCATAATTCTCGTGTTAGAACCGAATTAACTCTTTAGTGGCCCCCTCTGATGAATTTCAGTGTCCTAGTCTATTGCTAGTTTGATTATTGTATTCTCTTGATGGCATTTAGGTTCTTATGGAGGGAATGAGGGAAGCAGTTTCACTGCTCAGAGCAGAATACCACTAACCAAAAGAATGCCCCCGACCCCTTGCAAAATTTTCTTGGCTTTTCATTTTTTGGTTTGGTTGTTTTTTTCACCAATTTTTCTTGGGCGGCGTTGTTTTCCTTTTGTTGGGTGATTTGGGCAGGCGAGAATAATATACGGATACTACTAACCCTGACAACTGTGCAGTCGAATTGAAAAGATTCCACCTAAACTAACAATAGGATGTCGTTGTGGTTTAGTGTGGAACACATGCTTCTGTACTGCGCTCTGGCTGCCCCTACAAGCAGGGAGAGTCTTCAGCTAATCATACCCACAGCTCTGGGCATTTTTTTCAAAATTTTAAATTTAATCCAACATTTTAGGACCTAAATTTTCTATGAAAACTTTAACTTTTTTTGTATTGCTAATTTCGTATAATTTGGGTAAAGCCTTCTGTGTAGGGAAACAGTTTAACTGTGTTAACACTACGTCAAAGATTCAAGGCCTTTGAGAGCTGGGGAGAAACCCAAACACAGTCGTTTTCTGGTTCGACTGAACACAGGACTCTGATTGAAAGTTCCTGAAACTCCCAAAGCACCGGAAGGCTGACTGCAGATCCTAGTTCAAGATGTTTGACTGATATAGTCCCTGGTGGTGTTCACTGTTTGCTGAAGGAAGGCCTTGTATTTTCTTAAAATGCATCCTAAGTAAAAACTCAGAAGGCACTCAGTGCTGATTAAAGTTTTGTGGTTGAAGGTATAGCTTTGTTGGTGTCTAGAATTAGAACTGTGTAGTGTGTCCCCCAGAAAATGAGCTCTCATGGAAAAAATAGACAAAATCCACCCCCTGCCAAACTTAATGTCAGCAGAAATCCAGTCTGCTTTCTGAAATGGAATGTAGGTTTCCAAATTCTCTAGACAATCTCTTTCCAAAGCAAATGAGAAACAAATAACTCACAGGCACCAACTTCACTTTCCATTTAAAGTTAGAAGGGTTTGCTCTGTGCTGTTTCTACCTGTCTGTTTACAAGTTAGTTCTCTCTGGAGCACTTGTACCAATGGTACTAGAAATGTATAGGATCAGAGAACTGGTTTTGGACATAAATTTACATCAGTCCCACCCTTATTTCCCCTTTCCTTATTGCCCAGATGCCCTGAATAGCAGATTCTGTCTGTGTCTGTTCCCAAAAATGACTGTCCTACTCCGAGCACTTGAAGAAGAGACCATTTAACACTCTACTTTGGTAGGGAGGTCTGAGGCAAGCAAGTGTAAGAAGTTTGAGAAGTGAATGGAGATTAGGAGAGCAAAGTTAGCTCAGGATGCGCTATAGAGCAGTGCCATTCCTTTTGGGACAGCAGAGGGTCACTGTCTGCTGGATTCAGGGGTCTTGTGGGATGCTCACCACACTGGGCCACCAGACCAAGGTTTGATGGCGAGGGCCCAGGGATGGGTCCCACTTGCACAGTCTACACCTTCTGCCAACATCAGCTGCCACCAATGCCCCTCTGTGGCCAGGAGTCCTAGGGTCAGAGGGCCAGACAAACGATCCTGCAGCTTGAGAAGTGTGTCAACAGTCTGGGGCTCGAGGCCGGACCTGCTGTGTGGAGAGGTCTGACTGACAGGTTGCCAGGACGTGGTTGTCACAGCAGGAGCATGGGGTGAAGGGCG